GCTGGCTAAATGGCCATGGTGTTGGTGTGCTTGACTGGCCAGCAAACTCACCAGACCTGAACCCCATAGAGAATCTATGGGGTATTGTCAAGAGGAAAATGATAAATGAGACCAAAATAATACAGATGAGCTGAAGGCCACTGTCAAAGAAACCTGGGCTTCCATACCACCTCAGCAGTGCCACAGACTGATCACCTCCATGCCACGGCGAATTGAGGCAGTAATTAAAGCAAAAGGAGCCCCTACCAAGTATTGAGTACATATACAGTAAATGAACATACTTTCCAGAAGGCCAACAATTCACTAAAAATGTTTTTTATAGGTCTTATGAGGTATTCTAATTTATTGAGATAGTGAATTGGTGGGTTTTTGTTAAATGTGAGCCAAAATCATCACAATTAAAAGACCCAACGGCTTAAACTACTTCAGTTTGTGTGTACTGAATTTATATAATACACAAGTTTCACTATTTGAGTTGAATTACCGAAATAAATGGACTTTTCCACAATATTCTAATTTATTGGAAATGCACCTGTATATAACATAATGTGAAGGTTTTACTGTGATAAACTGGTAGAAATATCTAGGTTTTGGTGGTGTGTTCACCTGTTTGCATTTGCCCATAATGAGGCTGGGTTTGCCAGTGTCAGTGTACCACTATATGATGAATGTATAGATAAAGTGACAATGAAATATCATTGGAATATTTTGAAACATTATAGCAACATTGGAATTTAGGTCTTCATGAATTATATTTGTATCAATTGCAATTTTCACATTTATATTAGGGCTGGGCAATAAAACGGTAATTATTATGAAAAAGTCTCAGTAACTATGATAAAGTTATTAATTTAACTGATTTGGGTCAAAACTCTGCACAGTCCTTATATTAGGCTACAGTAATTGTAGCTGACGTGTATAGGGCCAAAACACATTAAATATATATGTCAGTAATTATCTATTCATCAGTTTGTAAAATATTGTTTTAATAGTTGTGATATATGTCTAGGACCATATCGCTCGGCCCTAGTTGAGACTTGGTTTTCATGCATACAGAATAACACCAGTATGAGGATTGTATGGAGTTTGACAGGTTGCAATACTTTATTGAGTCTGACAGATTTTACTCTAGACCTGCTCATGGCTAGAAATGGTTTGATTTATCCTAATTATTCTGCCTAATAGGGAGCTGCTTTTCCTTGAGGACATTTGTCATTTTTGCCCAATTTAAGGGATTACTGGTTTCTGGAAGAGCACCTTTCCATATAGCTGAGGCTTCTCTCTTAGATCATGTCACATTTATTATAAACCATAAAATGTGATTAAATTTGACTTGCATTTCAGTGTCGCTGTCTGAGAACTGCAAAGTGTTTTGCTTCAGCCTTCCTAAACTGCGTGAAGGCTGTTTCTGCCTGTGGTGATGTAAGGCATGTTAAAGTAGCAGAGGTTATTGAGTGTGTCGACGGTGATGTTTTAGGTGAGATATAGGCTGTGCAGTCACATGTCATGGATCGGCCTATATACAAGGGTCTCATGTTCTTTCTGCTTCCTCTTTTTGATTCCTTTTCCCTTTCCCCTCCCTCTACTCCTCCTCCTCTTTCCTTTCATCTCTTCCATCTCCACTTCCTATCCTACTCTGCTTGTCCTCTCTTCCTTTCATCTCTCCTCTGCCTCTCTGTCTCCTCACCTCATCTTTTCTCCTTTTCTCTCTACTGCCTCTCACATATAGAAGAATCTTCTTCTCTCCTCTCTAATCCTTTCTCCTCACTCAAAGACACTTAACTCCCAGCCAGATCCTTTGGAGTCAAAGCAGTGATTTGAACTGCCAGCATCAGGGCAGATTAGCGAGTGACCGCACGTTTTTGCTCCACTTGTTATATTCCCCCTCTCCTGCTTGTGTGTGTTGGCAAATATTTCAATTTAAGTTGTTTCTTCCTTTCCTTTATCACAAAGTGCCCCATAAAAAAGCAACTCGGGGTTCTTAATGTGCCCGCAGAGCGTGGTGGTCATGTTTTTAACTTTGATTAAATGGCAAAAAAAAAAAGAGATGAATACTGGGCCTAATCTTATTTATAAAATAATATAATTACATGATTAGCTTGATATTTTTCTTAATGTCTAATAGATCAAAAAAAGAAATCCCCAGCTGGCTTTAGTGTGGAGATAACACAACAGAATAAATTAATTTAGAGGCCCGGTTACCAAGCTTGTTCAGCCTGGAGAACCCTGTTGTTTGATGGCCTGTGCTTACAAATCCCAAGTGTCTATACATTACGATGTTGTGCAGATATGTGTCACTTAAAGACTGTGATATATTGGGATTACAAAAACCTAATTACTTTTAAATTGAAAGCAATCTCCAATGAGCCTACAAAGATGCAAACGTCTGAATATACTTTGTGGCTAATGGATTTAGCTCTTTTGGTGGTCCGAGCCAGGATCTGTCCTAACATGACACACAGATATATGGTAGTTAGAGCTTCTCTTGTGGCAACATTTCAGTGGAGCAGAATTTTAATAATGTGATTTCAAGTTTAAAAAAAAATAAAAAATCAGCCCTTCAGTGCTAGTGCTGGCTTTCGCCCTTCGACTGATGACACCCTCTTTGATGTGATTTCAACGAGTAGGGAAGAAAGAGCACGATGAAGGGTTTTGACAAAAGGCAGGGAGAAGCAGAGAAGGATGGAAGAAGTGGATTAACTGCCCTTCATCCATGTCATTTAAAAACATTTTGTCCCTTTTCTAGTTGTTTTTTTGAAGGCTTCAGCTAATGATGAGCCGCTGTTTTTCACTCGTACATTTAATCATTTCTCAGTAGTTATTTTATTGCTTTAAAGTTGATCGTGAACAAGGTATCGGCATCAGGATAAAAGCTGCAGTTACTAATGAGTAACACCGTGATGGATTCCTCCTCAGCCTGTGTAAAGCAAAATCAGTGATTTGCTTCTAAACACATTATTAGTGTTAGAAAATGTAGCTGAAAACATGAAAATACTGACATCTATGTAGTGCTGTATTATGGATTTTGATTGTTTCATCGTTTTTGAGTTCAGGATTTTTTAGACTGGGCAGAAAGCTTTGCTCGATGAGCCATCCTTAGCATAACCCTTCCCTGCGGCACCGAAACGTTATATATCCTTAACACATCTTCCTGCGGTGTGACAAGCTCAGAACATGTATTTATTTCTACTTTACCAGACTTTAAGCAACAGTGCAAAGCACTGTGGAAGTATCCCAGTAGATATCCTAAATGACTGAGTTGTTTCAACACTTGTTTTTCAGAGTAATGAGGCGTATCCCTTGTAACCCCCCATACACATACTCGGAGTCAAAGTGAAAGTCAGTGAGAGAAACTGAAAGAGGGAGAATGTGGAGAAAGAAAGCCTGAGAGGCAGTGAAACCCCCCCCAGTGAGAGACTGGAACACTTCCAAATGCTCCTCTCTGGATTATCTTCAAGGACAATCGGCTAAACAGTTGATATTAAGAGAGCTGTGTGAAATCGATTGCTCAAGTTGTTATCAGAGCTACAAAAATGGCTGATAATTAGTCATGTCTAAAGGAGTGTTACTGCAACAGTGAGGTAGATTTAATCTTAACAGATTTCACTGCACTGCAGATACACTCCTGCGTAAGCCCCCCCCCCCCAATCTATCACAAGAAAAGTGACTAAGCAAATAGCTGTGATATACAGTACTACTGTGAAATTTGCCCGAACCAAATGTAGATGTTTTGCCCAGGTTATTTGTTCAAGGCAGCTGCACCTGCCTTTATTCTCACTTGCCAGCAGCAGCAGCAACTCGAGAGCTATTATTTGTTTATTTATAAAGCTTTGGCACTGAGGCACCTCGGTCTATCGCAGCTGTTAATTTAGGACCATTCAGCAGACAGTCTTCGGTGACTGATGCGCCTGTGATGTACCTGTACACCCCTGACGCAGGCCAGATGTGTTAGTTTAGTGATGAGTGGAGGCTTGGACTGAATAAATCAACTGCAGGACTTTGGGAAAAGGTCAGTAGGCAGGTGGTCTGTTGTAGGTGGCTTTCATACCCTTGTCCTGTACAAATCAGCAAATCCCATGAAAAGACCAAAACCAGCCAAGTGTTAGTCCACAAGTCTGACTCTGGGGGACTTTTCAATATAATGCCTGTAGTGAAAATGCAGTTGTATGGTTGTTTGAAATGTTTTTGTATTTTCATCTTGTACTTTGTTTCAGCAGACAAAAAATGTTTTTAGGTAGCTAAGGCACTCTTACATTCAGATTTGTTGTTTATTAAAATTAATTTAAAGGGTTTTTTTTCTCTCTCTTTGTCAATTTTCCTGCAGAAGCTGAAGCAAAAGAACCAGCAGCTGAAGCAGATCATGGACCAACTCCGCAACCTCATCTGGGAGATCAACTCCATGCTGGCCGTCAGAAGCTGAGCTACACACACACGTACGCTCGTTCATAAAACGCACACATTCAACACAAGATTTGGTCATCGACAGGATGTGTGACAGGGTACCACAGACTGGCTGAGGTTGCACTTTGAAAGAAAGCGAAAGGAGGCAAGTGAAGCTGAAAGGGCTCAGCACTACAGAGGTGAGACGACATCCCGCAGTAGATGAGGAGGAGAATACTATTTACATCAGTGTGGGCAAAAATATTCTGTCTACCTCGATAATCTACATTTCAATCATCATTTTGACCCTGAATCAATCTGAAGAGTTATGTTTGTGTTTGTAGGCACTAGCTCAAACAAATTGATCTTATATTCTATTTAATCTTTATATTGTCTACATGTTACATGCTTATTTCACAGTGTTAGAATTGTTTTATGTCCTAAATTGAAAAGTTTTTAATGGCTTCTAAGAACTTTAATAAGAAAGACATACACTGTGGCAAAATCACGAGTCTTATTCTTACTATATGCAGATTGGTTTTTATGTTATGATTCTACTGAACTATAAATCTTGCTGTGATTTGGTGTTTTGTGTTGTATTTTTATACCGTGGGTACGGAAAGTATTCAGACCCCCTTAAATTTTTC